GGCAGGGGTCATAAAAAATTTCTCTCGTCATTCTGAACAACTTTGTAGTACATTATTTTTTGATCCGACCAAATTTTGACATGGTGGGGTACTCCCCTGCCCCCCCTACTTCGATTGGGCACCCCCTATTTTCACAAATTTATTTTTTCGGCAATTTACATCGATCCATATAGGTGAAATTAAAAACTTTTAGTAACACTTTGTGCACTTTACTGGTCAGCAGTGATCAATCAAATCAATTATTTTTATTAAACATTTTTTTCCTAAAATAATGTTTGCTCTAGGGTTGATTGGCATTTTTCAAATGGACCAAAGAACCCTCTTTTGGTTTTTCTCTTTAAAAATCAAATAGATGTGCATTTATCTAATAAAAAATAATGAAACCAAACGTCAAAAATGAATTCCCAACGTCAAAAATGAATGATTGAATACATATTAAGAAATTAGAAAAAGAACTCCCACATAGAGATATTTTTAAAGCCAAACAAATTGCTTGAAATATTTATATAACCAGATAAATGCCACAGACTGATAAGCAATTAAATTTTGAACAAGAGAAAAAGAACTAAACTATGCAATATTTTTTTATGAAAAACTTTTTGTATGTCTGAACATTTGAATTACATGGCGTAGCGTTTTATTGTAGTACAATAATCAACGTTTTAAAAGCAAGAAAAAAGAATCGAAACGGAATAAACTTAACAAAAACAATATGCATCCAAATTCATTAATCGAGCAAAACTCCCAAACCATACACAGAGAATGATGTTAATTATATAAAGAAAATGGGACTAATATATAAAGGACAAACAAAAATCGGTGTAGAGGCCCCTTCCACTTCTGCATAATTCTTTTTAACATTAAACTAGCATTGTTGTAACGTCTGTAATTTCGATGAGTTTATTGTGTGAGAAAAAATGCATAAAAAATATTCATGAAATCTAGCATAAAATTCGATAAATTGATGAGTTTATGGCTGTTTTAAGCATCTATAATTTACAAAGGAAAACATTGATCATTTATTTTATTTTGTTCATTCAGCTCCGTTCTTTCCAAAAGAAATCTTCTTTTCGTTATTGTTAGTATAACGCGTAGTTGATCCTTTTAAAAATATTTTTGTAGAAATTTTGTATAGTAAATTGGTGAAGTAATAACACAAAAAATGTTAAGTGAACATCTTTTGAACAAAACTTGTAGTTTTAAAGTTCTAAAACGATAATCCTTCTATATATCAGACAGACATGAAAGAAATCTTCAATGAGAGAAATAGAAAAAAAGAAATTTGTATGCATATTTTATGAGAATTTAGAAGGCATTTTTAGCTAAAAGTTTTCTTAGCAAATAAACAACATAATTATATATATGAAAACGAAAACGATGCATGTAACGAAATCTCAAAAGCCACTCTTAGAAAACTCAGATGTTAAAATTCAAAGTACTCAAAGCAAAATGCCCATATTAAGGCAATTTATCTACACATTTCTTTGCGGGTAAAGCGGCATTTTACCTTGTGAAAAAATAGCCTCATGTTAAAATGGCATTTTGCTTTGATTACTTTGAATTTTAACATCTGAGTTTTCTGTGAGCATGTATAAAATTATAGATTGAGACAGGATAATTTAAAACTAAGAGAGAAAGGAAAGAATGAGTGAATGAAATAACAATACTAGCGTATGTCACATTGAAAAAACACATTAACAATAAAGAATACATGATCAAAATAAAATAAATGTAAATTGACAGCAATAAACTACAATTAGTACGAACAGAAAACATAAATTGTATTTTTATTGAATTTGTTTTTCTCTGCCTTCAAAACACATTCAATTTAGTAATTTTTTTTCAATTTTTAGAATTTGTACATGTATCATGTATTTTGAGATTAATTTTGTCTAAAGGGTACGCGTTATTTTTCTTTTAACAACTAATTTAATTCAGCTTGAGCTTTTTAACTGTAAAAGAAGGAGAAGAAATTTTTATTGAGTTCACTTTATTTGCATAACAAAAGAGAAAACGAAAAATTCATTAAAACACAATGTTTTTGAATAATAATCATGTATCATAGAAGTGATAGTAGGATGTATATCCATCATAAAAACAACTTAATTTAACTCTAAAACCGTCCATCGGGCACTCAGTGTCCGAGCAAAATTTCAAACTAAAATTAAACCATTTTCTTCATCAAACATCACTAAACCCCGATTTTTTTCGTGTTTCGGCCTCTGTTCCTATACTCAAAAATATAAAATATGCATCAATTCACGCCATGGTTTTCGAAAAAATGGCCGGCAAAAAAAAGATAGTCATTTCGTCTTTGGGGCACTCAGTGCCCGACGTATATTTTCATATATTTTGTATGGGAAAATTGCTGAATTGTAAAAAATGTTTGTGCACGAATGAATCGATTGTTCTCATATACAAACATATATATACTTGTTACGTTGTTCGGTGTTCCGTGTGACATTCAAATAAGAATAATAATTTATTATAAACAAATTGTGCCGAAGTTGTGTTTTACATTGAATTGCTTTGATTTACTTTTACATATACACAACAAACATGTCTCGTGTTCAGTTCATTTTTTTATTCATTTATATGTGACTTCCCATACTCAGATAAATTTAACAGAGAAAACTTAAAGGCAAACAGTGTAAAATGCCATTTTGCAAATGAAACTGGTCCAATTCATAGGCACTGCAAAACTTTGTTCAGCCAATATTTTTTATATTTTGTCAGCACAGTAAACAAAACGTAGCTGCCGACCCGATGCGCACATTCATGTCTTTAGTTTACGATTAGACACAAGATTTCTCAAAATATCGAGAAAAATTCTAAATTTTTTTTTCCAAATTTTTTAATTTTTTCATACAAATTACACTACGGGCACTGAGTGCCCCCAAAGGTGGATTGCAGAAGGACGGTTTTAGGGTTAACAAAGGGACAAATCAAATCATACACAAAAGCGATAGTATAGTAAACAAACATCACGATCTCAGCTATATAGCAAAAAACATTTGTTGTGGCAAATTCATCCATTATCGGGCATATGTTGACGGTCAATATTGGGGTCGGATTTGAGTGTAGTTTCAGTCATTTTCAACGTCGCAATGGAAAGAAAAAAGAGAAAAAATAAACTCAGTTAGTAAGTATGAATCAACATCAATATACTATCGGTTCAGTTCAATAAATGATACTCACCTTCGGGTTATTTTATATACCGAACTGCCCGTACTTCGGTCAAGGCCACAAAACTCAAGCCCAGCATAGTAACAAAACGTTACAATAATATTATTTAAAAAGAAATCTTAATGCTACATGTAATTAAAACTGGTCGTCATCGGAAACATCGAGAACATAAACGTAGTCCTCGTCGTCACTGGAATCCTCATCGTCAGCTGCTTGATTTTGTACGGCAGCATTTTGATTCTGTGGTCTCAATAGTTGCAGATGAATGTCCAATCCCAACACCGTACAAAGACCTAAAAACAAAATCGTAAACAACAAATCGTTAGCCAAAACATTCTTAAATATTTTTAATTTCAGTGATATTTTTTCACCTTTGTACATGATGTTCTTGGCTGCAACGATATCCCGGTGCCAAACAGTTTTCAATTGAAATGGAGCTCGATCATCTTTCCAAATGCCAGTGTTTAGTTGCCAGTTTTTGAAACATACTTGAAGTTTTGACACTAAACCATCTGAATCCATTGGAATATGATCTGGGTTGGCTGCATTCAATATATTTACGCAATTGTTGGTACACTCGGTTGCTTTTCATGGTGATAATCACGTTCGGTAAATTTTATTGCGATGACTCATCTTCACTTGGAATACAATGCTGACAAACTTTGTATCGATCGCTTTTGGTTCGTCGATCGAATGGCCGGAAACATTTTGCACAAGTTTGCGATGTATTGTATTCGTCGACCTGAAACTGTTCAATAGTCGTCGTAATCCCGGGCATCGCAATCGCTTTTTAATACCAATTGGTGAGTTTGGAGCTATTTGAGCTGCACCAATAAAAACGAGCGCCGACTTTTTTTTCGTCAGTGATGCCGCGATTTTGTCACTGGCCCGATTCTCTTCGATGTATTTATCGAGACGGAGTCGAATGAACTTTCGTGTTGTGTACACCGCCATAGCTGGTTTCATAATTTTCACATAATAAGCGATGTAACACATCCAATGTGAACGTCCCCTCGGCGATGGAAAAAATGCATAGCGTTTATAGTCGAGCTCCCGTTGTTTTTGCAAAAATTCAGTCCATTGATCGGATTTACGCTTGCGTTTGCCATATTTCGCTTCGAAATGGTATTTTGGACCATCAATTGTGATGTTTTCCTGAGATTTACGAACAAAAAATCATAGAAGTAAACAAATGATAAATAAAGAATGAATTTATTGTTTCTTACCTCGTTGCCGGATCGAACGTGTTTGCTAACGGTGGCGTTCCATGTACGAACTCCTGGATCGAGTCCAAGCACATAATCAAACTCAAAATGATTGTACTTCTCTTTGATGGTGTTGTTATCAAGTTCTGGTGTATTGCGTTCAGGCTTCACGAAACATAACGAAACTGCCACACTATCGGTTGCCACAGCAAAATCGAATTCCTTACCATTTCCAAGTTTCGAAATTTTTGGCAGGTCAAATATTAAATCCCAATAGATAGCTGGATTGCTATCGTATTCAGTTTTTTCAATGTTTATTGGCTGACCGCGTTTTCCTTTTGCCAATTTCAATGCTCCAAATTTTCTCGCAATCAAATAAAAAAGATGGATATCGATGCGGATATGTTCCATATCGAAATCGTGGACTGGAATTACTAAGAAATTCTTTATTTTTGGCGGGAGTGGAGTGGTCGGCATGACATTATTGTTCGGATCGCGTCGATATTGGAACCAACGTTGTTTCAACATTTCATATTTCGCGTGAAAATCGCTGTATGATAATATGCTAATTTGTCGCTGAATGTTTATAAATATTGGGATGGTTTGGAACCAGCGATCACGAATGAGATCCTGGAAGTGTACATTGATTGGCAATCCAATGCCTGCTGCTTCGTTTAATAGAAGATCGATGTTCGCGTTTCTCTCGACTCTACTCTGGAACATTTCGATCTTCGTCGCACGTTTTACATCCAATTCAGTGACGAGATTTCCTTGTCGATTCAAATTCAGTTCGTAGCGCTTTAGCGTGAAAAATTTCTTGATGCGACTGAATGCCCATACTTTGATGTTATTTTTCACGTTTGTTATGTACTGAGTGATGAGATGATTGAATGCGTTCCCCATGCCCTCGCGAGCTGGCCAATTTTCTGGACGAAGAAAATCAGGACATGCTTGCTCGACAGTTCGTCGAAATACAAGCGGTAATTTGTGGTAATTTTCTTGTAATACCGAGGTGAAACATTTACCAATTACACCATTCACGTATTTATTGAATTGATCATTCGTGTATTCATCGGATTCACCTTTAAAAAATCGAACATTTTCATCGTCAAAGGCTTTGTTTGCTTTGAACAAAAACACTAATGACGCCAGAGTCGTAATCATTGTGGCCGAAAGGCACCAGTATGTGACCTGATTGATAAATGGTGCACGATACTCTTCCCGCTCTTTCTTTTCATCGTGACAGATCTATTGTACAAAAATTAAAGAAAAAAATACACCAAATATAGCATAGATCACAAACACAATAAGATATAAACACTTCTATCACAAATTAAATGAAACAGTAATGAAGAGCGCATTATAAATATCACCTCTTACCTCAACAAAGTGACTCTTTATTCTAAATCGAATGATGAAATTTATTTCCAATGTGACATCAAATATTTTGCCGATCGAAATGTTGTTGGAATATTCACAGTTATTTTATCAACACTCTGTTATTTCGAAATTAAAACAAAGACAGTCACAAAACCAACTGTGAATATATCCATTCCACAGGGAACAGCACAAAACACATAAAATCGTTTTTGAAATGACAATAAAACCAATTGATCGCCCAAACCACGCTTCAAACACTCTCATATAATTCTCAAGAAATCCTGTTGAAAACAAAACAAAGTTTTATTGTAAACAAAATCGGTTGGTGCGATAGTTGTTTATACTAACAATACTGTCACACAATGTGGGCACATTTTTAATACATATAAATGAATATCTTTGGATTTGGTTTGACACATATACACCGCGCCAATCGAAAAATGTCAGAAAGATGTCAGTTGCATTTCGAAAATTCAAAATAATAATTCCACAAATAAAGAAAATTAAATGCATTAAATGACGTATAAAAGAGTTCTTCTTCAGAGTTTTAAATTAAATTATGCAAATCTCTTTCCGAATAAATTGTTTATTTTTTATTTGAGCGTAAGATTTAGATTTTCAATTTAAAACTTAATGTTTTCTTTTTTCCATTTTCAGGCATCAACCGAATTGAATTGGCTGTCCCGTTTAAAATTTAAATAAATTTCCATTGTATTTTTCTCCTCTTCGAAATATTTTTATGCATTCTTTATTTTTATTATTCATATTTGCTTGTTAAACCAAGATCTGTTTTGTATTATCAAAGTATTCCAGTAAAAACAAATATACATACATACTTAACGAATTTCGATCAACGAAGTCACGAAGTTACGTTAATTTTTAACTGAATTTTAATTTTTATATTCTACAGGATGCCAAATGGTTATTTTTGTATATGCGACTTGGACAAATAAATGATAAGAATTAATTTTTTTTAAAGAAAACGAACAATGTGGTAAAATATTGACCGTCTCCGTTTAGTAGATCTAGTCCATTTTAACTTCAAGTACTACATTTTAACTTCAGTCATTATATTATATGTATTTTAATGACAGTTCTGTCACCCGTAATGCATTGTAAAACGTATTAAATTGTATTTAGAAAAAATCACTGTTTACACGCGTTCTGAATTATTTGAAATAGTTTGAGTTCAACCGTGGTTTAAAAAGGTCAACATTTGAAATGGGGAAGGGTTTTAATAATTACATGTGTAAAAAATTCTTCCATCCAGCGTCCAGAGATAATCTGAAACGAGTAAGTAATCCTATATTTAATTTAAAAAAATATTGTTTTAATGGCTTTCGTTTTCATTTAACAAATGATTTAGGTATGGATGGCCGAACAACAAGCCGAAGCATATAAGAAAAAGCAAGAAGAGCTTCGAAATCAGTATGAAAAAGAGCAAGATTTGCATGAAAATAAAGCAATGCTGAGCAAAGATAGCAAAGATAAATTGAGCATGAATTTCATGTACGAGCCACCACCTGGTGTTCGCAAAGAACGTGAAAAAGACGACAATGAGCCAGAATATAAATTTGAATGGCAACGTAAATACAATGCACCACGTGAAAGTTATTGTAAAGGCGATACAGAAATTCGTGATCAACCGTTTGGTATTCAAGTGAGAAATGTGCGTTGCATTAAATGCCACAAATGGGGTCATATAAATACTGACAAGGAATGTACTATGTACAGTCTATCTATGAGTGAAGCACGAAAATTACATTCGGAAGCTGAATCCAACGAGATTTTATCGAAGAATTTGTTGGAAGAACAAATGAAAGAAGACGGTTTAATGATGAAAAAAGGCGCAATGAGTGCACAAAGCTTCCAAACGGGTCGTTTGCACCAGTTTGTTGCAAATGCAAATGACGATTACAATGACAACGAATCAGCACAAGTTGAAAAGGAATTTTTAAAATCTCTCAGCACCAAACAAAAGAAGAAATTGTTAAAAAAGCTTAAAAAGATCGAGAAAATGAAGCAAACATCAGCCAAACGTAGCCTAAAAAAGAAATCAAAGCAACACACATTGTCATCATCATCATCGTCGTCGTCAAAAGACGAAAAAGGTCGTAACAAATCAATCTCGGCTCGAGCCGAGAGAGGCCGTTCGGAGCGAAACCGAGACCAATCGGAAAGAGATCGAAAAAACAAACGTTATAAAAGATCAGCCCGTGATCGATCGGTATCACCAAGACGTAATAACAGGCACCGTTCCAGATCATCTTCACTTGATACAAAACATCGAAATAATAGACAATAATCAAGCCCATTACCTTTTCTGATTAGATAATATTGACTGACGTTTTAAATAAATCAATCACTTTCAAATTGAAAACAATTGCGTCGCTATAGCCCAACTATCAACCAATTTTTTTTATCTGAAGTATGTTACAATGAATAAAAACTGAATGTAATTTTTCTGAGAGTTTCATTCATCAAGTAGAATATGAAGACGATAAACTTAATCTGTTTGGCGGTTGTGGCCAATGTCGTAAGTGTTGTGGCCAATATAGAATTTGGACAAAAATTCGATAGAGTGAATCCTCATATACTTGGTGGTAATGATGCGAAGGAGGGACAATTTTCTTATCAAGTATCGCTTCGAAGTCGAAAAGGGCATTTTTGTGGTGGTGCAATTATAAGCAATGGCTTTGTTGCAATCGTCGATTACCTAAGGAGAGAATCGCAGAAGAAAAGAACGAATAATAAATAAATAAAATTAGTTAAAAAATAGAAAATATATTTCTATTGAATATATCGAGAAGAGAGTATGTTATTCAGCGCTTATAGCTGAGTAATGTCTGAATAAAAACATACTCTCCTTTCGATATTTTCAATAGATTTATGACTGACGAGAAGTATGTTTTTTTATTCACGCATAATTCAAACTATAATCCTTATTCCACAGGTTCATATTATCAGCTGCACATTGTATGCAGGGACCCTTTGCTAGTCCGAATTTAGTGTATGCTTTGTTCTTAGACTATATATTTTATTTTCATCATGTGTTTCCATTAATTTCCATATGTGATTTACCCTAGGTATGCTGTTGTTGGAACTATATATAGTTCAAAGGATGGTGTCTACTACAGATTATCAACAATTAAATCACATCCAGAATATGATAAAAAAAAATCACTAAATGACCTCGCCATACTGCGTACAACCGAAGAAATTATTTTTTCAAATTTAATTCAACCAGTTGCATTGCCAAAAATGCCTAGCTCACATTTTGATAACAATTTTATTCTTTCGGGTTGGGGTTGTAGCAAGCAACCGCATCCAATGCAAAAACCTACAATGTCAGATCTATTGAAGTTTATTATGCCGGCAACACTTAGCACGAAGGATTGCATTGAAAAATTTAAAGGTGAAAATGAATTTGATTTTTTGTTTTAATTGTGAACAATTCAAAGGTCATCAAACCAGTGAATTAGTTCGCGATACAAATATTTGTACAATAAGTCCAGTCGATGTTGGCACTTGTTTTGGTGATTCAGGTAACTTATCATAGCTGGGCAGACAGGAGGGAGGAGGGATTAATTTGCTGGGAAATTACCCCCCAATCCTTGATTTTTTTTAGTCTGCTATGTAACTTGTGCAAGGATTTCATTCATAAAAAACATATTTTACCTTGTAACATTTTGAACAAAATATAAAGGTGGCCCGGCCCATTGGTTGATAAATCGACTACAGAGATAGTAGGCATTGTTTCATTCGGCGTTCCCTGTGCGAAAGGCTATCATTTTTTCGTCGTAACATCGAAAATTCCAAATATTTAATTTTATTTATTTTCCCATAGTAAAATGGCAAAAATATTTTAAAATATTGTGTTTTTCCACTGATTTGGTTTGAATTTCACAATGATCCAAATATATACATAACTGCCACATCTGTCAAATCAAAAGTGTTTCACTTGAAATGTTCGGCGCTTTATGCGGCTTTATGTGTCGGCAATTGGATTATTTATTCCGGAATAATAGTACAGTGAAAAATGGAACATAAATATAATTGCTTTTCTTTGTATTTTCAATATTTCTGTTCAATAACTAAATTAAAGTATCTACAATTCGCAGATATAATTTTTTTTTCAAAGTAGTTATTTTTTCATACCAAAAAATGCATTTTACCGGCTCGTCTAAAAATGATATAGTTTAACTTTTGACGTAAACAAGTGATAAAAATATAGAATTTTTTTTTGAACGTAATTTTTGAAAGCAGGAATAGATTTTTGATGAATATTTGGATTATTATATATAGATTTGATATTGATCATTCATAATTTGTTTTTAAAAATGCAATTAAAACGAATTTTCGATTTTTAATTTCAATTCACCTATCGGTATTCCGACATTTGGTCGTGTGTCGACATTTGGCAATCTACTGTACTTATCGTAAAAAATGTAATAAAAAATCGCGTGCTGAGAAAAAATTAATATTTGTGTATTATACCCAGTGTATAATAATTATTGTTACTATTTTTCTCGGCACGCGATTTTTTATTACATTTTTTACGATAAGTATAGGAAATGCGTATTTGTTTCGAAGTTGCTATTTTATGTGTCGCCATCTATTGGTAAATAGTTGGAACTACTTTCTTACTAAAGTGTCATACAATTGCTAAGAGACCCTTTTTCAAGAGATATGTATAATGTCCCATATGTATAAAAAATATAGAAGTATCGGAAGAAACTAGTATTGCACATGCTAGTGCTTATATAGAACTTGTCTGAGCAAGCTATCTCTAGATAAAAAAAGTTCCCAAGGAAAAATTTGTAATACCAGGCACAAATTCATGGTCGAATTTCGGCCCGGATTTGTGTGTAGTTTCAGCTATTTTCACGGTTGCCAAAGAATAACATTCAGGTGTGAATACATGGAAAAGAGAAACAACATTCATTAGTATCAATTGAATTAATTGTATATGAAACATCTTTTTTAATTGAAAACTTTACTCACACACGGGCTCCTTCCATCCGTAATACCATTGTACTGTTCTTAAGAAAAGAGCAAAACTGTGTCGGGATGTTGCTTCGGTGATATTTTGATGTTTTCCTTTAATGAAACCAAAATAAAAACAATCAATACATTTAATCTGGAAAAATATGAAACTTTAATATAAAATAAATTATTTAATCAATTCACTTCGACACAAGTTTCAATGTTCCGACGAAATCCAGCATAGTATGTGTTCACGCCGGGATGATATACGTGTAATCACCGTCTTCAAGTTTTTGTTTGATTCGTTCGCGATTGAATTCGGTCTTCTCACGTTTTGGTGTTTTGAATAGTACCGAAGCCGAAACGCTATCGCACACAATCATACGGTGAAATTGCTGGTTTGGTCTTTTGAGTTCATTTATTTTCTTCATGTCGAATAAAATATTCCAAGCGTCGTATGGGTTTCCTTCAAAATAATTATTGCTATATATAGAACTTCCTCCATCTTTGCCACCGAATTCTTCTGGAATCAGTTTCCATCGAGCCAATAGTGCTAACAAATCCGTTTGATCGAATTTGATGTGTTTGAGTTTATTATCACATAGCGGTAAAACGGTGATATTGCCAATCTTTGGCGGCAGTGGTTGCGTTGGTTTTTCGAACAACAATGGTTTTTTCTTGTGTCGCAGCCATGCATGCACCAGCTGTCGATGTTCCTTGAATTCACTAATTTCACGTTGTATTTGGATGAAAAAATAAAGTGATTCAAACCACTTTTTCTCGATGTATTGAGTCATTGTGAGATAATCGCCAAATGATGGTAAACAACGTTCTTTCACCGCAACAAACAGCTCATTCATTTTGGATTTTCGAACTGGATCGCCTTCACTCAATGCTTTCAATTGTGTTTCGAATGTCGATGTCATCAAATTTGAATAATCTGTATGGTTCCTGATTGAATTGGTAGCGCTTCATTTGTGTACTTCTTACAATCTTACCAATCCCTTCACACAATGTGTGGTTAGCTGTGTTGTCACATTGCTGAGGTATTGTTGATGCATATACTCAAATCAGAGCTGGACAGGAACATCAATGTCCGACTGTGATCGGTCGTTCGTGTGCGTTTTTTCCTTTTTTGTGATCATTCACATGATTCAAAGTTTTATAATTCGCGTCTACCCTCTTGGCATTATCACACTGAAATTTTCATTTTTCATTTTCTAAGAATGCGAGAGGCAACGCAATATAAAAATTGTTTGTGTATTTGATTGCAAGCGTCACTGAAAATTTATATCAGATCATTTTCAGATTTGATGTGCAGTATTGCGTCACAGTGAGAACTTCCAAAGAAGTGTTTTTTACTTATATCATTTGTTTTAACATTAAAATTAATTTTTCTGTTTGAAATCTACTCTCTATTCTTTTATTGTATTCATATATTGATATTCATCACATTGGAAATCAAGAATATTTATATTAACCGATTTCTTGCAATCCACGCCAAGTTTGTTCTGCTTTCTGCCATACTTTTATCATTTGTTTTTACATTGAATTAGAGTTTTATGTTTGCTCTCGAATTTTTTTTTTTTGTTGCATTTTTAATTGTTTTTTAAAATTTCGAAACAAAAGGAGAAATTTCTACGGTGAATTTGTAGTATGTACTCAGCTGTTCTACATACAACGTTTACACGGTGTATTACAACGCGGTCACCTTGCGGCAGACTCTGCCAGAGCTACGCGTCGGTCGTATATATTCTTTATGTATAGAGCGATGACCATAGCTCTGCCGCATACAAGTGTGAGCGGTTCGAGTCTCGCATAGTATACATAAGTAATACATACGACTGACGCGTAGCTCTGCCGCAAGGTGACCGCGTTGTAATACACCGTGTAAACGTTGTATGTAAAACGGCTGAGTATGGTTACCAAATCTATTCAAAACTAATTGCACCGATGTTTTAATTCATTTTTTTCAATTGAATAAAGCCCTCAAAACATCATTTCAAGGTGTAGTTTCCTGGTTATTTAAAAAATCTTAAAAAGGTGGTCCGCCAAATACACGCTTTTTCGAATTTTGACCAATTTTGAAAAATGTTGGTTTTAAAAAATGTGCACATTGGTTCAAAATTGAGTGCTCTTTCGATCTATGATAAAAAAAATCTTTGTTCACACATTTTTTTTTAACAAAATTACGATTTTCATCGATTTTTCCCCATTTTTTAATAGTATGGTCATAAATGGATTGAACCATCTCCACTGAATTTTTTTCAAAATTTCTTCGCTGTATGCTCTTGGGGAGCTCAATATCTTGCCAAAGAGCCAAAAATGACGCATCTTTGTGGAAAAACACCCCGTGTACCATAATCTAGAAATTCTCCAAACATCGAAAAATTTTGAATTTTTTTTTTAATTTTGGAACCGAAATAGCTTTTTGGAACGAATTTTCCCAGATATGACACATACACCAAAACATCACAAATTTAGTCCCCAACAAACGCTCAGTTTTTCACGAAAAAAAAAATGAGTGCAGTTTTTTTAATTTTGGTCGGTGTGAAAAAAGTCATTGTCATTTTTCGAAAAAAACAACACATGCCGCGCCATCTGACGATCATTTTCGAAATTTTTTCTAATCTGACGTCAGATCTGAATAGCTGAGGTTCGTAGCTTTCCAACGACATATAGATCATTACCTCACCTTTCATATGCACAGAAAGTAGGCCATTCGATGAAAAACTGAAAAAGTGCATTCCACTTTTTTTCGAACCTAGACCCCAGGCACTTGCGCGACGAAATCCAAAAATTCGAAGAGACATGTATGCTCAGTTTTCCATCTACTTTCGAATAAAATCGGTCTCCGGCGATTTATCAAAAACTGCGGACAAAAATTTGCCGACAAACAAACAAACCATTTCAAAAATTTCGTGTTTTTCGTAAGATTTTTTGACATGATCATATCTCGGACACTTTTCGATCGATTCCAACAATTTTTTTTTTCAACACTATCTACCCGAACTCCAGTTTCCGAATATACCATTTTTCGGAAATTTGTTTCTGGTTTGGGTGGTCAAAAATGGACAAAATCAAAAATTTACCTTTTTTTGAAACGCCACCTAGCGGTCAAATTTTGCGGATTTTTTTTGCGGATTCTTAATTTGGTGCCCGAGCACTACTAAAATATGCAAAAACCCTTTTCAAAAAAGTCAGCGGTATCGATTTTCATTTCTTTACAGTATATATAGAGTGAAGCAAAATATACATATTTCATTGGTTGGTATTGCGTCACTTGGGGGACTGCCGTCCCCCGTGATGTATAGGTCCTCAGTTAATATTAGGCTCATCAGAGCAAAAGATTCGAGGATGGGTTCCACGAAATTCACAGAAAATTGGTCCGCGAGAAAATGAGAATATCCTGAAAATTTGATTTTTCCCAAAGATGTCGATATGCGAAGCATGTACCGATAAAGGATCTCGTGTCTTAGTTTTTCTAGCTTATAGACAGTATGAGCAATAGGGTGTTTCCACATGGAAAATATTAAAAAGTGGCTAGTATCATTTTGAAGAGCGTAAAATTCTGTATAAGATTATTTGATTTTCGATGCTGATTGGTCGCCGATGTCACTTCCTGGACTAAAAACACATTTTTAAATTGATTTCATGTCGCATTCACGCCAGAATGAAATTATAAGATTGAACAAAATTAAAAATATGAAATATAATTTTAGTATCAATATTATTGCTTAAATATTCAAAAAATTGGCGATTTTGCATTGTTTTGGTTTATTGTGGTAAAATTGTTAGTTTTTGTGTTACTTTCATTAATATTTAGGCAATTATTTTGATATTAAAATTATTTTGAGTGTTTTTAATTTAGTTCAATCTTATATTTTCATCAATTACAGATTTTGGCGTGAATGCGACATGAAATCAATTTACAAATGTGTTTTTAGTCCAGGAAGTGACATCGGCCACCAATCAGCATCAAAAATCAAATCATCTTATACAGAATTTAACGCTCTTCAAAATGATAATAGCCACTTTTTAATATTTTTCATGTGGAAACACCCTAATGAGCAATCATAATAAAATGGTTTTTGAAATATACACTGACAAAACTAAGGTTATGATTTTGACAACACCGTGTTGTAAATGCTTACATTCCAACGAATGTTGTGAAGTAGCCAACAATTGTTGTCATTGTGAATACGTACAATGGCATATATTATATGTATTCACAACGACAACAATT